GAAGTACGAGAGCCTCGCTTCTTGCCTGAGCTTTTCTACAGCAAAGAATATGGGTTTGTGATTTTGCAATCAGAAATATCAATGGAGATTTAACCTTATCCAAAATCCCAAGAAGAAAGTTTGTATACTTGAAATACTTTGTGTACATTTAAATGGTTTAATTAAGAAAAAAAAAAGTGTGTTCACAGCTTAACATTAATCCCAACAATATTCTATCTCCATGGATTTCAGTTAAAAACTCACAAGTTACAGAGGAAATACACATGATTGTTTCCATAGTACAGAAAATGCTTTTTTAACTCGAAGAGGATGCTTTCATAAAAACCACTTGATTCTTAATTCTGTACTGAATTCTCATTAACTTCAGAAAACCACCATAGATGCAGGGGGGAAGCAGGCATTTGTGCCATCCATCAGCCGGCTGTTTTTCAACTTAGTATTTCCAGCCAAATCACAGGTATGTTTGATTAAACAGCTCACATTTAAAATCACTAACAGTCCCTTGGAAACTCTGAGGCTAACTGTACCCTCCTCACCACATAATCTGAAGGCAAATTTCTTTAGTGACTTCAGTGGGACCTAAGATCTGGAATACCTGTTATACTCTGAATATCATTAGTAAAGACTAAGCTTTTCAGATGCCACGAACTTAAGGCATAGAAGAAACTGAAAGGGAAACACAAAGTGGGATTTAGGAACAAAAGCAGCAAAAAAAAAACCAACCAAACAAACCAAAAAAAAAAACCACAAAACATGAAATGACTCATACAACAGAGAATAGAGTACTATGAATTGTTTGCTCTTTAAGATTCCTATTCCTAGTGTAAAAAACTTGGGGTCTACATTTGGGCTGGTTTTATCCCATGTGCAACTTAAATGTGTATCAAACTGCATTAGCAATGTTTTCTACCCAAATCAAACAACATTTGAAAGATCAGGATAAAATGATCCATGTGTGATACAACCACCCTTACCTTGTGTCAGGGAACTCTAGCCTGGTCAGGGAAACACCGGAAACAATTCCATTTCCTTCTTCCTTTTTCTATTCCATACACCTGACATGCCTGAGGACTGATAACGTTTAAAGTTATGGCAAAGCAAGACGTGTCCTTCAGAAGAGTGACCAAGGCCTTCTGCAGAAGAGTGTAGAGATATCTAAGGGCAGGAGGCCATGCCTATGATGACAAAACACTGAGTGAATTAGTCAGACATTCAAGTGTTGGTTAGATCATGCATTTAACAGACACCTGTTAATCTGGTCTGTCCATGTCTTCTGGAAGCTGTCCCTCCTGATGTAATCCCCATGGAGGTGACCATAACATCACCTGCCTCTCTTGCCTCCCAAGCTGGCTAGACAAGGAACCCCATTTGCCTGGACACACAGATTAGATTAGCACTGGCTCCAGGTAACCAGGATGGCTCTTCAGTCCCTTTGTAGAACTGACATAGCTGCCAAGTGGAAAAGTCTCTTTCCTTCTGACACTGATGAATATATGGATAATGGAAGCTTGGAGATGGCAGTGGCCATTTCTAGGGCATTTAGACCATCCTTGAGTAAAAGCCATCATTTACCAGAGCAAAGTAAATGCAAAAGAAAAACTGCATGCCTGAATTCATTCTCACGTCCTTAAACTTTCACTCTGGCCACTCACTGGATTTCTAAACTCTGAACTGAATGTCCTGTTTTTCAGATGAACACGATGCTGACGTATAAATTCTAGAATCAAAACACTGTAGAGCACATGGGAACAAACCATGTCTCTCATGGTGACAAAGGCTGTTATGTCTTCAAATATTAAATCAAAAAGTCTGATTTTATATAGACTCCTCTGTACAGAAAAATTATCTTGCAATTTTTTAAACAATGTTCCTGTCACTTTTTCTATCAAAAACACTCCGGAAGAAACAATTACTGTGAGGATTAAGTGATCTAACCCAAGTATTTAGATTAACGCCTGATGCTTAGTGAGATGATTAACTCAATACTAAGCTCCTTAACCCCCAAAATACAAAACACAACATACCTTTTAAGTGGATGGACACTTTAGGAGAACTCTCTGCTGAAATGAAGGCTGAAGAAAATGTTGGTGTTGAAAATCCTCAACAGAA